GAATAGAAACTGGCACAGCCAGCACGGGAGGACGTGAATGCAGCAGTCAACTAACCATCGCATATGGTGCAATTTAAGACAGACTTAATCCCCTTACCTCACCAGTAGCACATGCAGCAGCATGGCTCACCATTCTCAGTAGGTGCTTGCTCAGCACCGGCATGGCAGCATGCATGCAGCAGAGCAACTGACAGATCCACCATTCCAGTTTGGAGCCTCTCAGCTCACCATTCAGCACGTGGGAAGGAGTCTATTTATGACGCGCCTCATTAACAGTTTAGACCCTATTTTTGAGGCGCCTCAAAAACAGTTTGGACCCTCTCAGCTCACAATTTAGCACATGGGGGGGGGAAGATGTGTTCTGACCCCCCCCAGGGGCCTCTCCTTCCAGGTGATGGCATCGCAAGCGAGCATGGCAGCAGGAATGCAGCAGTGAAACTCACCACCTGACTGTGAATCCTGATTGTGAATCCTCCGTACCCACCACCTGATTCTAAATCCGCCGGACTCGCCAGTCGCACATGGAGAAGAAGATATCCTTCCCTGTGGCGTCCAGTGCACTCTGCATGGCCTTGTGTGACTCGAGTATAGCAGCACGGTAGCATGCAGGCATGGATGCAGCAATGCAACTCACCATTCGCACATGGAGAAGAAGATGCCCCTCCCAGTGGCGTCCAGTGCATTGCGCATGGCCGTGTACCTGATGGTTGATGGTTGATGGCATTCAGTAATATGGGAGGCATGGCATGGCATGGCATGGGAAGGCAGGCAGGTAAGGCATGATATGGTAACATTCCAAACCATTAGCTACCACTATGGCATGGTTTGAACCAGATTAAAACAGAACCCGAGGGATAGCAAGGATAAGCGCTCATAAATGTTGGGTGACGGAGAGGCAACATCGGCAGCAGGAATGCGCAATGCCGTTTGAACCAGATTGAACAAAAGCTGAGAAATAGCTGAGATAAGCGCTTATAAATGAAAAATAGCAGAGATAAGCGCCTATAAATGCTGGGTAGCGGAGCGGCAACGAGGTGACTTTTGATTCGGACTCAAAAGTGAGATCGTTTGAGCCAGCTTGAGACACCAAGTTGTGGGATCGCAGCGATAAGCATGCACGAATGAATGCTGGGTGGCAGGAGGCTTTTCATAATTCTCAAAAACACCCTGCAAAGACGATTTTTGAGGCGCCTAAAAAATCTTTTCATAATTCTCAAAAACACCCTGCAAAGACGATTTTTGAGGCGCCTCAAAAATCTTTTCATAATTCTCAAAAACACCCTGCAAAGACGATTTTTGAGGCGCCTCAAAAATCTTTTCATAATTCTCAAAAATACCCTGCAAAGACGATTTTTGAGGCGCCTCAAAAATCTTTTCATAATTCTCAAAAACACCCTGCAAAGATACGCCTGCATGAATGCTGGGTAACGGAGAGGCAACGGCAGCAGGAGGACAAACTTACCGCTTCTGGCTTGGACTCCCATCGTTAATACAGTTGTCATACTTGAGGTAGTCAACTCCCTGCCACATATAATAAAAGCATATCAGTGCAGGGCGTGAGCAGAGGGCGTGAGCAGAGGGTGTGAGGACGGGGCGTGAGCACGGGAGGTGAGCACGGGGTGTGCGCACGGGGTGTGCGCACCCCATTCTCTGATGCATGCATGCATGGCGCACGGAACAGTCATTGGGCGGAAGTGATCTCGCCAAGGATTCAGCAAAGCGTAAGGAAGTAGACCTACTATAATTACCTATTATGTAGAATTTACCCATTATGTAGCATTTACCCATTATGTTGAAAACATGACCCATTATGTAGAAATTATTACCCATAACGTAGAAACAATTACCCGTTGTGTAGAAAATATTACCCATTATAATTACCCATTCAGCGAAAGTGGATGCATCCGTAGCCTCATGCCCAAGTGAGCCTGGCTTGCCTGCGCACGTACGAAACCTGATGGGCGTGGAGTGTAGATTTATAACTTAAAAGGAAGGCTCTGATGGAGTGGCTAAATAGGTCGATTTTGAGACGTCAGAAACTAACCTACTTACTTAACCTCGGAGGAACTTAGAACTTAGAGTGGCGTGGAGGTAGAACTTAGAACGAAGGCCCTGATGGAGAGAACGAAAACGGACTGAGCATACGAGCGTATGACGAGCACAAAAACCTGGTCAACTTAGCGGGCATCTAGTTTTGAGGCGCCTCAAAACTTAGCGGGCATCGATATGCACACACTGTCACATCGGATCGGAGCAGTTACCCGCTGCAGATAGACCTTACCCAGCATCGGAGTAGATCTTTGGCTCCCAGCATGAGCCCCTTGCTGTGCACTTTACCCTCAAGTCCCTTCCTTTCCGTATCACCAACCGTGCGCAGCGCAGCACTATACGCTGTCTTACCCAGCATCGGAGTAGATCCCCAGCTTGAGCCCCCTGCTGTGCACATAGTCCGCAAGCGCCTTGATTCCCGAAGGGAAGGAGTCGGGCGAAGGCACCAGGCGACCCTGATCACAGCAGGCAGCGAAGGAGAAGAGAATGTGATGATGGTCCGGAGGTATGGGATGCACGGGATGTATGGGATGCGTGGGATGTGTCAGATGTGTGGGTGGGATGTGTGAGATGCATGGGATGTATGGGAGGTGTGAGTGGTATGGGATGTGTGGAATGCATGGGATGCGTGGGATGTGTGGGATGCATGGGATGCATGGGATGCATGGGATGGGATGAATGAGAGGCAACGATGGGGGAAAGCATTCACCCACCTCAGAGTCTCGGGAGTCGGCCTGCCAGCAATCATCTGCAGAAGGACCAACTCAACACGTCAGCAACAAGTCAGTCAGCACAGCCCCCGCAGCCACAGCCCAGTCAGCCACGCCCCAGCCATAAAAGGACTGGCAAATTTGCGATAAAATGACTATATTCGCTCATGGATGCTGGGACGCGCATATCAAGCACCACAACCACAGTATCTACCACGGTATCGTCTCACCGATGTTGACATAGATGTATCCAAGGGCTGCGAGTCCCGAGGATACGAGCTTGTCCGCTGTAAGGGAGCGACAGGGAGTTATGGATGCAGAGGCACACACAGCACACTTTAGAAGACAACAGGGCACAGCAATACACAGCAATGCACTGCACACAGCAATACACAGTAATACACAGCAATACACAGCAATACACAGCAATGCACAGCAATGCACAGCAATGCACAGCAATGCACAGCAATGCACAGCACACAGCAGCACACAGCAGCACGGGATGATTGGTGAATCCTGCGAGTGAGCGAGAGCTGCAGGTCCCGAGGATTCGCGCGAGACGAGATTGGATTATGGGAGCAGTGGCACATCGTTACAATGTCACACGATACAAGCACGAGGGGAGTCGGTTGCACTACCTTGGGTTCGCACAATGTCTTCGGTGACGTTGCATTGGAAATGGTTCCAGCTGTTCCATCTGCCACGTTACACGCCACGTCACACGCCACGTCACACGCCACGCACACAGTCACATCACATTGCAAGAACGGACGGGAACTACCAAAGCAATAGTAAGCGAAGGAATAGGAGGGGAACTTGGTCGCCATCGTCTTCGCCAGAGGTGTTACCCGAGGGGCGGAGTTCGCGAGATATCTCGCGCTCGACCATGCACCGCGACGGTCTCGGCGGAAACTTCGCTCTTGCTTTCTCCTCCAGCGCTCCGAGCAGCAGAAGCTTGAAGGGCGAGAAGTGCGAGAGAGTGACAGAAGCACGCAGCTACTAATGGTGGGAAACCGCTCCGTGGTCTCGTCGACATTGCGTCGCGACTAGCCGAGTCGATCGAACAAAACGACGAAGGGAGCAGCGAGTGCTTATGCGATCATGAATGAACAAAGCGAATGGGCGAAAACTATAATTTTGAGGCGCCTAAAAAATAGACTCCTCACTCATGCGATCATGAATGAACAACGCGAATGGGCGAAAACTATATTGTAGGACTAGGAACGGGCTGGGACGGCTATGCCTCGCAACGAGCTGGTCGCTATCCGGACACGGCAGCGATAGCGACGGGGTCATTGCGAGGCATCCTACAATGAGCTGATCGCTACTATCTTCGCTACGTCTCGCAAGGGATCGTTCGTTATCGTCGCTATCATCGCTATCATCGCTATCATTGCGAGTCGAGGCTGAGCTTGTGCGCTTCCCAAAATCCCTATGCTCGACATGCCCAGACGCTGCTAAATCACTGCCCGTGGTCTGTGATGATGTCAACATTATTCGACATTCAACGCTCGACATTCCTGTTGACTGGTGGCTGACTGTCTTATAATGCTATCAATCTTGCTGACAGGCCGACTGTCTGTCTGTCAAATCCTTCTGACAGCGACTCTGATCGGTAAGTTCGACTTGACAGTGACTCAGCTGCAGGGTAGAGTGTCTGCTCTGCTCTGCAGCCAAGTAAGGCTTGTGAGCAAGAAAGTGAGGGCGTGGTGCATAGAGTTGCGCGCGGTGCAAAGAGTTGTGCAACCCGCTTGAGTTCTTAAAGCCGGATCGGTTACAACTTCGCGAAAATTTCGACGGCTCCTCGCAAGTCTCTTTACCAGAAAAAAATCATCCCAAAACCGCAACTAGTTGCGCAATTTTGAAAGCGCAGCTCTAGGCACCAAGCTGGCTCTAGACAATTGCTTTCGGGGATAGAACGGACTTCTTCAGGACGGATTCCGTGTTACAATTCAGAGGCAGTACATTCAGTCTTTTGGGATTCACTTCTCTCCACGTGTAATGCAGACAGCAATGGCATTTGAAATGAAACGAGACTTTATTTCGTTCCGAAAACGAGTCAGTAGAATGATCCGCATATTATAGACAGCCCATGCGTCATCATTTACAAACGGGCTGAAACACTTACCTACAGAACTATGGGACAGGCAGACAATTATCGTTCTGACGATCCACTTTATATCGTGTACACATGAACGAGCACATATTTCGTGGTTCACTCGTGCCATCAGCATTTGAAGCTACTTTGAGCCCAGCCCAAAAAGTTTTAGCTTGCTAGCACGCTCGATAACAGCAATCACCCAAACGAAAGTGTGTGAAGCCACGGAATCGGCCCAGCAGCCATGGCGTCCGTTCCTCACTCGCATCTCCGATCGTCCTTCAGCACGCGCCACTATCACTCACCTCACCTTCCCACAAGCACTAAGTCCGCCTTTTTAGGGGGGGCGTTAGAACGATCACGACAGCCATGCGGTGTTCGTGCAATCCCAGCCGTAGGATCCAATTCCCATCAGCAGATCGAACGGCGAATCGGCATTTGGGCAATCGGCGGGCCGCCGGGAATGGGTGCATTCCCGCGGCCACAGCAAGGCGGGAACGTGCTCAAGGTACTTCACAGTTTGCGTTAGCTCTGATTAGTAATCATTTCCCGTTAGCTCTGATTAGGCGTCTCAAAATCGACGATGCTCTCAAACCCGGTCTGCATTGAGCACTGAACTTCTCTCCTTCGTCTCCCCCCTCCAACAGTTGGTGGTGCAAGGCCCTATATGCTCCCCACTAGGCACCACTATCCTCTCCGCGCTCTCCTCTGCTCGCGGGCTGCAGCTGGCTGCTGTAAACGCATGCCCTTCCCTTCCCTTCCCCTCCCCTCCCCCCTCCCCCCCTCCCCTCCGTCCTTCAGCTAGTTGTGAACGGCCCCGTGGCCTCGCCTCTGGGCGCTACCATCCTCTCCACCCTCTCCTCTGCTCGCGGGCTGCAGCTGGCTGCTGTGGTGGACGGCAATCCCGAGGCCAACGGGAGAGATGCTGGGGAGGTGAGAGGGGTGAGGGAGGGGTGGGGTGGGGTGGGGTGGGATGGGGGGGAAGTTTAGGCATAGAGGACAAGGGAGACGTGGGGAAGGTGACGGCTAGCAATGCTCTCTTCAGCTGGCTGCTGTGGTGGACGGCAATCCCGAGGCCAACAGTAGGGAGGGAGGCTGAGTAATTGCAGTATGGGCGTATATGGAGTATGATAAGCCAGCGTATATACGCAACACGAGCTGACTTTTGAGTCGACTCAAAAGCCAACAGGAGGGAGGGAGGCTGAGTAATGGCAGTATGGGCGTATGGAGTATGATAAGCCAGCGTATATACGCAACACGCTCGGTTTGGGACCCTGTATACGCTATGTAAACGCTAGTCAGGGCAGGCAAAACATTTTCCGGGCAGTGAAAAATTTGGAAAAGGGGGAAGGGGGGAAGAGGTGGATGTTGAGCAAACGGTTCAATTGCAACTTCAACCAAAAAACATAGTCTAAGAAGCATAATAAATAAGCATCATGCCAAGTTTCCAAAGCCCAATTCCCTCAGCCACTGAATTTCATCTCCAAGTTCCAACTACCACAACCTCTTTCGCTTAGTAAGTTAGGGAACGAGCTAAAGCTGGCGGGGAATACGGCTGGTAAGTTACGCGCGCTAAACTAGGTGTAGCGCATTTGGTGGGAGAGAGGGGGAGCGCACATTGTCAGGTGGGTTGGGTTTGGTAGAGACATTGGGGTGCAGCGCGGTGGTGGGGAGCGAAATGGTTGGATCTTGATTCCTTTTTGGGTATCGCAACTTTGCGTATATCCGCTCGTATAGCGTACATACGCTCCCCAAATTTTGCGCATAGTGCAACTAACTAAGTGGGTAGGTGAGAGGGATATTTGAAAGGCAGAGGGGGGGTGCAAGAGGAAAGGTGATTGGGGGCAGAGAGAGAGAGAGAGAGAGAGAGAGAGAGAGAGAGAGAGAGAGAGAGAGAGAGAGAGAGAGAGAGAGAGAGAGAGAGACTGCCCAACGCCGCGCAGTTCCCTTCCCCCCTTGTCTCTGTCGCCCCCCCCCTCCTCCATCTCTCCCCCTCCCCCATGTATCTGTTGCTTCAGGTGGCGGGAATACCTGAGCCTTTGGAGCTGCCTGTGGTAGCTGATGTCATCATGGTGCTGGCCTCCGTTGCTCAGGTGCCTGTTCTGTTGCCCAGGTGCTTTCTCTGTTGCCCAGGTGCTTTCTCTGTTGCCCAGGTGCTTTCTCTGTTGCTCAGGTGCTTTCTCTGTTTCTCTGCAGCCTGTTCCCTTGCTTCCCCATTGCCAGTCTTTATGCGTGCTGCTTCTGTAGCGCCTTCAAATATGAATCTGCTTTGAGCCTTCAAGACTGGAGATTCGACATGTCCCACCTCCCTCTGTCCCACCTCCCTTGAATGCAGTCTCGGTCCACAGGAGTGTATGTTGACTTCACAGGCGATGCCTCTGCTGCGTGTGAGAACGTGCGGCAGGTGAGAGAGGGACTGAGAGGGAAGGAATGTGTGAGCGGTGTGCGTGGGTGGGTGTGTGGGCGTGAGCGAGGGAGCGGCCTCAGGGGTGATTTCACAGGCGATGCCTCTGCTGCATGCGAGAATGTGGTTAGACTCCGGGGCGGGGAGGCTGAGAGGGGGAGAGGCGGAGAGGGGAGAGGGGGAGAGGCGGAGAGGGGAGAGGGGGAGAGGCGGAGAGGGGAGAGGGGGAGAGGCGGAGAGGGGAGAGGGGGAGAAGCAGGGGGGAGGAGGCGGAGAGGGGGGAGAGGCGGAGAGGGGGGAGAGGCGGAGAGGGGGGAGAGGCGAAGAAGGGGGAGAGGCGGAGAGGGGGAGAGGCGGAGAGGGGGGAGAGGCGGAGAGAGGAGAGGCGGAGAGGGGGGAGAGGCGGAGATGGGGAAAGGGGGAATGTGCTTGATTGTGTATGGGTATGTGTGTGTCGGTGTGAGTGAGTGGGGGTGTGTGCTAACTTCATAGGCAGTGCCTCTGCTGCTGTACAAGGTTGAAACCTCCCTTCCTCCCCTCTCCCCCCCCCCCCGACCACCACCACCACCACTTCCCCCCGTCCCTTTCCATGCCACCAAGGCAATAGCATTCGGCCTGAGCAGCATGGTGGTGAGGAATGAAATAGCGTCGAATAACCACCCTTCCCACCAAAAAATCCTGCATCCCCTTCCATTCTTCCTTTCCCCCCCCTCCCTCCTCATACCGCCAGGCAACAGCATTCGGCCTGAGCAGCGTGGTGGTCGGAGCGTCGATACCAGAGGATGACATCAGCGGCCTGTACGAATTCTGTGACAAGGCCTCGACTGTACGTACTGAACACGCCCTGTTAGCTTCAGTTTTCTGCCCCGCCCGTGTCTTTAGTTGGCTTGGATTCATCACGCATGTTCGTTCATTCACGTAGGAATGTGCTTCACCACGCCCATGACCAGGAATGTGCTTCACCACGCCCATGACCAGGAATGTGCTTCACCACGCACATGACCAGGAATGTGCTTCACCACGCACATTCCTTCACTGTCCACCATGAACATGCCCCGCTCGTGTCTTTAGTTGGCTTAGCTTCACCATGCACTGTGCTTCACCATGCACTGTGTTTCACCATGCATGTGCTTCGCCATGCACTGTGCTTCACCATGCACTGTGCTTCGCCATGCACTGTGCTTCACCATGCACTGTGCTTCGCCATGCACTGTGCTTCGCCATGCACTGTGCTTCGCCATGCACTGTGCTTCGCCATGCACTGTGCTTCGCCATGCACTGTGCTTCGCCATGCACTGTGCTTCGCCATGCACTGTGCTTCGCCATGCACTGTGCTTCGCCATGCACTGTGCTTCACCATGCACTGTGCTTCACCATGCACTGTGCTTCGCCATGCACTGTGCTTCACCATGCACTGTGTTACCTTTGAGGTGACTCAAGGAAATCACATATGCCCCGCCCGCCCATCTCTCTGTGTTATGTTTTTTAGAATTCTCAAGAACAAAACTTATGCCCTGCCCGCCCATGTCATGTCTCTGTGCACTTTCCCATGCACCTCGGTTGCAATTCCCCATGCACCTTGTGAGTTTCCGCATGCACCTCGTGTGCGCTTCCCCGTGCACCTCGTGAGTGCACCTTCTCTTCTCCCGCTTCCTGCTCTCATACACCACAAACAGGCGCGTGATGCGAGTGTGATGTGAGTGTGATGTGAGTGAGTACACGAAGATTCAAAGTCCTGACCCCCCTCAGAACTATGGCTCGCCCCAACTCCTGTTCGCCCCCCTCCCGTGTTCCTTTCCCTTACACGGCTGCAGGATCCTTACCGGGTGTTTATTAGAATTCTCAAAA